TGCCAAGAAAAAAAGTCAAGGTTTGGTTATGAGGCAACAGACATTTTCTTTGTTGTTTTGTACGGTAGTGTGATACTTTTTTTGATTTCTAGGTAGAGTAGATACAAATAGTTACAGTTTGTTTTGCTGATATTTTGCAGATATTGTCATAGCGAAAACCTCAAAAATATGAATTTAAGCTAGATCACACAAGAGGCAGAGCTGTTACACAAATTATCAGCACTGCTGTGATTTGGTCAAAAATCATTATTACCAGTGCTTGAAGTGGGTCAGTGTGTTTCTGTACATTGTATAGCTGCTTCTAGACCGAACCCTTGGGCATCCTAGGATTTATTTTAGCAGAGTGGGACTTCTTAAAAGAGCTGGTGTAGGTACCGGATGTGCTCGGATTGCCAGATTAGCTCTGGGCCCAGTGCCTGTTGAAGAAGTCACACTACGGCAAGTCCACTTGGACAAACTACATTGCGGTCCATTTAATATGCTAAATGTCTCGGTTAAAAGCCCCTCTTTATTTCTGTTTGTTTATTCAATTGACCTCGAAACTGTCTCTCCATATAACACAGAGAATTACAACTTACTGTACTGTAATTTTTACGATGTCTTTCATCTATATGTTAACTCTTCTAAAGTGAAAAAAAATAATGTATGCATGATCTCCGTTTATGAATAGATATTTTCTGGTTTTATCCCACATTTCCATGGACAATCTCTGGCTGTCGTAAATCAGCAGGACGCACAGATAAGTAAAGATTGCCTTGTAAAAGGCATCTGTGTTTTCTCAGAAGAACTACAATCCCATGGAACCAATCCAGCCCAAATCCGCTTCATAACCAAAACTTCAGTGCCATTTGGGAAAACTTCACCAAGACTGAAAAGGAAGGCGTTCAGTGCAACATTTGCAAAGACCGTTTTGCATGGCTCGGGAGTACATCGATGATGCGTGAGCACAGGGCTCTCAAGTCTCAAGCATTCAGCGTATGACACACGCATTCCCACTCGTTCACACGCTCACACACCACACATTGTATTTCTCACGCATTTAAATGAACACGGTGATGTCGTCCAAGTTGCACTTCTTCAACTATGGAACTGGGGGAAATCAACTGAGTTCCTCCGAGAGTTCAGAAGCTGTGTGCCACGCACAAGCCAATCAAATAAAGTATATCTACTGAACAGCCAATCAAAAAGCAGCATTGCTGTATCCGTGTAGATTTTGATATCTTGCGATTTAACTACAGAAGAAGACAGACACTCGCCGAAATAGTTCATTTATTTCATAAATGCAACTCGCTACAGTTTTTTATATACTTTGTATAAAGGTAAAAAAAAAGATATATGCAATGTTATCTTCATTTTAGATGTCAAAGAGGTTTTGTGGCTCCCTGTGTTTTCTTTTCTGTGGGAAACTGTTCCAAGTGGCTCTTTGAGTGTTTAAGGTTGCCGACCCCTGTTCTAGACCGAACCCTTGGGCATCCTAGGATTTATTTTAGCAGAGTGGGACTCCTTAAAAGAGCTGGTGTAGGTACCGGATGTGCTCGGATTGCCAGATTAGCTCTGGGCCCAGTGCCTGTTGAAGAAGTCACACTACGGCAAGTCCACTTGGACAAACTACATTGCGGTCCATTTAATATGCTAAATGTCTCGGTTAAAAGCCCCTCTTTATTTCTGTTTGTTTATTCAATTGACCTCGAAACTGTCTCTCCATATAACACAGAGAATTACAACTTACTGTACTGTAATTTTTAGATGTCTTTCATCTTATATGTTAACTCTTCTAAAGGAAAAGAAAATAATGTATGCATGATCTCCGTTTATGAATAGATATTTTTGCTTTTATCCCACATTTCCTTTGCCAATCTCTGGCTGTCGTAAATCCCCTTTGATAAGTAAAGATTGCCTTGTAAAATTCATCTGTGTTTTCTCAGAAGAACTACAATCCCATGAAACCTAATCCAGCGAAAACCACTTTCATAACCACAATCTTCTATGCCATTTGAACCAACTTCCAGCCAATCATATGGCGTGACATCATCAACAGGCGCCAGGCCCTGAGCCGATCTGGCAGCCAGAGCACATCTGGTACCTACCTGTACCCTGTTCTCCACATATTACAGTTTTTGGATTAACCTCCCACAGTGTTACATGATGGTCACTTGTTTGTTTTTGCCAGGGCAATATAGTCTGGTAAAAAATTAGATGGAAACATAGTGATACACAGATGAAGGTCAAGTCACGTGGAAGCCAGTGAGACTGTGCTTACCAAGTACCAAAGACTAAATTATAGGCCAAAATACATAACTTACATACATAACTAACCAAATATGATATGTGACCTGAAGTGAAGAAGAATGAGAACAACACACATTTGAACATGTTAATGGAAAGTAAAAATTGGATTTGAGACTAAACAGTTTTTTATTTATTTATTTATTTATTTATCTATCAGCTACAAGACCCTGTGAGTGGCTTACATCAACAATTTGAGAAGAAAAGTCTGAGAAGTTGACAAAACTGCAAAAGAAAGGTTTGATCAATCATCCAGCACCAGCTAATGGGAAGACTCAGAACTGTTCAATCAGCAGATCAAGCAGGTACAAGACGCGATTATTGAATCTACTAACTGGTGCCTTCAGAGGGAGTTTGAAACACACCGCCTCATTCCTCTCTACCTCGTCTTTTCTTCATTTTCTTTATTGACCTTTTCCCGAGGAGTCTGCACAGCCCACATGTGTTTTTCTTTCTTGTTTTCTTCATTTCATTACTTTCCTTTCACCTGCTTGGATATGTCCCTGAGGAAATGGTGGCAGCAGTGAGATTGTGTGTATGACAACCCTGATCTAAGCTTTGTTAGAGTGCTGCGTGTACAGGTCAGAAATAATGTGCAAGCCTGTATGTGTGTAACTCTGTGTGTGTGTGTGCCACCTGGACATTTCTTCGGAATCACTGCCTCGGTAGATGAGCGATCACCAAGGCATACTGCTGAGAGCCCCACAGGCCATAAAATCAGGGGGAAAGACCACGTACGCCATCAAATGGACAAGGAATTACAATCGGAAATGAACCATGTGAATTGCATGACTGTCTGTCAGTAAGTGGATGTGTGTAGTGGGCGCCAGCTGTGGCAGGAAAAATGGTAGATCAAAATAATGTCATTAAAATCCACAATATATTTTAACTTAAATGATTGAGTGAACATGTTTTGTGCACTTTTGTATTGTTAATCTGTTCATGAATGTGTCGGTTCTTTCATTGCTGCCTTGTAAAAGTGTGAGTGTGAGTGTTTGACAAGACCAAAGGACAACTCACCATTATCATGTGGCTCTGAACTGTAGCAGAGCCAAAAACAGCTGAAAGGTCAAATCTATTCCATGTGTAAAGAAAAGGAAACCTGAAAGGCTTTGTGTGTGGTTGTGTGCATGTGTCTGTGCGTGAAAGAAAACCATGATGGTTTATCACCTTAATGGTTGTTTTCGATGTTTTATGGCATCCGCAGAGATTTAGCAGATGGTACAATTGACGCCTTCCCTGCAGTTTGTTGTTTGCTGTCCTGTTGGTCAAAAAAGCTATGTCCATACATGACTAATGGTGATGGTTGTGTATCTGTGAGTGTGAGACAGAGAGTGCTATGTGAGCAAATACACTTTATAACAGCATCATTTTAAGGGGCAGATTGTCTACTTCAGTATGTTCTGTTTGTGTGAGTGTATGCTCACTGGTTAAATTCTTTACATCATTGATTCACACATTTGCTTGAAAAATAGCTGCTTAGAAACTTAATGATCACTTTATGTTTTAAAAGACATAAGGGTGTATATCTGAGGGGAAAAGGAGGGCATGCAACCAGAATCAGAGGACTTTATTTATCCCGGGTGGGAAATTCAGTAGAAATTCTTTCCTGTCATCCACCTGCTTCTTTGTCTGACCAATCCCAGGTTGCTTATGGAAGAAGCTGCTAAATCTCCACCCCTCTGGGTCTCTGTCATCTTTGGCAAAGCCCTCATCCTCAGCTTGGGGGAGACCTCAACTCCCCTGTTGATCAGCTAAGAGCTGCCGTCGGTCTCCACTACAGTTGTTTCCTCTCTGCCGCTGTCCCAATGCAGCTTTTAGAAGTGAATCCAAAGTTATAAAATACTAAACTTTGCTCTCTCTTTGACATATTTTCCCATGATGTACCCACTGTGTTTGAACCCCAGAAAACAAAAGAGTGTAGTAACTGTCAGGCTGCATGGTGGGGTTACCGTAGGTTATAATTATTTGGAGCAGCGCTGCGCACACAGGGAGGCTTTCCAGGGGCAGTATTTATTTTTTAAGCAGAACACAACTCCTGTGTTACCTTGACAACAAAGTCCAAGTTCAGTTTCTGTGAGAGTTTGTACTTTTGTTTTTCTTTACGAAGAAGCAAGTTTGTCTTTGCGAAGAAGCAAGAACCCTCACTTCTTTTACTAAACAACTCAAGTCATGGCTGTTGGAAAACCAGACCTGCCATCATAATCATGTATAAATTGTTTGTCATGTCTAGTTGGCTAATTGCTTTGGGGTACCACTCTTAATTTGTTTGCATACATATTCTCATTCATGAATGCAAATTTGTTACTAAAGGGTATAGATAATACATTTGTGTATACAAACCATGTGCAATTTAAGATACACATCTGCTAGTGCAATCGTGTGCTATGGGCATCATGCAATTCAATTCAGTCTTGCACTGTACTGTGCATTGCGCAATTCAATGTAATTTTGCACTTATACACTTGTCACTTTAACAAGCTTTACTGTAGCAAATGGCACTTTAAACACCTTTAGCACATGACACTCTAATTAGCGCTTTACAATTCTCTTTAAATTATTTTGGTCCCCTTACTATTGGTCACTTAGTTTTTGGTCTGTGTATATTATTTATGTATATTATGTGTATGTTGTCAGTGCGTTGTTTTACTGTCGAAGTCATGTTGTTTGTACTTTTAACATTATTGCTTTTATGTTTAACATTAACATGCCAATGGGACTGGGGATGGAAATTAGCCATTTGGCTGTAATCCCACATATTTACATGTAAATGTTCATCAATATGTACTGTTCCCATTTTTAAAAAATAGATAAATAAAAATAGAAAATAGAAATAGTTTCATTTGTAAATGAAAGCAGTAAAAAACGAGATTTCTGTGGTGGTGAGACAGTTTTGTTTTTGGGGCAGATACTGATGAATCATCATGTCAATGATGAAAGGACATTGAAATAATGGGGGATGATTCAACCAGTCTGACTTCAGTCCTTTAGTGAAGGACATCAAGATTGTTGGAAATTTGAAATGGCATGTAGATTATTCATCTCGGGTAATTTGATTAGAGTAAGCGCCTCTTTTACATCAGGAGTTTTATCATTCAACCTGACATTGTGATTTTTTTTTTGTCTTATTCAATCCAGATGGAAATTATATGTCAATCAATACCCATACCTGTGAAACTGTCAACATTTGTTTTGATTTCTCCTACACGTGAGTAAGTTAATTCATTTTCCACACGGTCTTCAATTTTTTAAATTGTGTTTGTTATCTGAACATGACGCCAAATCAGTTTGAATTAAATGGTGTCAGGTACTGTATGCAAATCAAAGATGAAAATGTCTGGGATCTTGTTAGCATGCCATCCTGAAAGCTATAATGCATTATTCTGGTCTCTACTGCCTGCATCTGGGGCCTTTTCTCCTATGGCACTCCCAATGGCGACGGAGAAGTCATTGGATTAAAAGAAAGTCAGTTTCCTTCTCATTATTTCTTGTAACTGGTTTGTCTGCTTGTCTTCTTTCTACTCTGGTTTTTAACATTTGTGTTTGGGTCCTCTTCCCATACATTCATCAATGTGATGAAGGTATGGGGTTCCAGGTTTCCCTTTTTTCCGGACGCCGCAGCATGCCACATAAATTCAGCGCAGATTCACAGATTCTCGTACTACTCTGGCGGCGTGAAAGATGTAAATTGGGCGAAAGCTGAAAATGTCTCAACTTAAGCGAATATGTGCGTCGCGATAACTAATGATGATGATAACTAATGGTGATGTATGAAAACGGATGGTTGTTCAATGGTATCTAAAATGGAGGACAACTGATTGTGTTGGTGTGTGGGTGCCCCAAATTATATGATACCTTTTCTTTCAATTACCAAAACCATAATGAAAAGGAGCTCGCCTGGAGGCAAGTGAGTGAAAAGGTCAGATTACCTGGTAAATAATACTGTTTAAATTACTGTTGACAAGTGAATGAAGTGAGTAAATACAATTCATTCAGCATCTAGATTAACATGAATTAAGTGAGTAGAAAATCTTACTTGCGCTTGGCCATTACACTGAAATAATTCCATCAAGACTCAGTTTGTAGTTGTGGTGGTTTTGATGGTATCACTATCTTCAACATGACAATCAACACAATACGTCCTTCCTGTTTTTGCTGCCATAAAAGGTTGGGTTGGTTGATGAAAAGGATTATTGCAAAGATCCCCAGAACACTTGGGTGACAAGACAAATTATGACTCCACTAACTTTCTTTGCAGAAATTTTAGTTTAGTAATTAAAATATTACCTCAAGCCCAATTCAAAATTATAATGTCAGGAGTTGCATGACATTCGCCCTCACCAGCTTTGTCCCTGCCCCAGAGTCTGTTTTAATGATAGGCTTTGTGCATTAGGCGCTGAGGGAGAGTCAAAGTCCTGCCAGCTGTCAGAGCTCCTCTATAAAAGGGTAGATAGAGACAGAATATGACTGTAATTACAACACTTGTCATTTACTGCAGCAAAGACCAAGACCAGAGAATAAGAGGAGTGCAGAGATACAGACAAAAAGATAGACAGCTGAGCGAGAGGGCCATTGTTCTTGAGAAAGCTAATGCTGTTACATATGCTGCAAGATAGATCCATTTAACAAAGTCTTATTTGTTAAATGGATGTACAAGAAAAATGTTGGTATAGCAAACATCCATCAAAGTTCACTGGCTGACTTCTGGGTTTAGCTTTGAAATAGTTGCAGTGAGGGACCACGAAACAGCGCAGGTATGGTATGCTCAGATAATTTATTTATTTATTTATTTTCTAAATTAACTATCTTTTTTTAAACCTGCATGTTACAATGCTTCCAAACAACATTTATCTTACCTGTGAAAAATGGCCTGGGCCTTTGAGCACCAGGAGTCTCAGCTGCTACCTTTAGTGTTTTGTTTAAAACTAAGGTGAGGGAAGCAAATAAAACCCCAGCTGCCTGTGAACCATGAAAGATTTGCTGTAGGAGATGGGAAATCCATAAAAGTATGGGTTTTAAAAGGGTATATCCTGACACAGGAAGCAAGATAATTTAATTGAATCTGGAATCCAATGAAATGAACTTCTTTTGGTAACTCGTTTGTATTATAAAATGCAATAAAATTGTCTATTTGGCCATATGAATCTTTCAAGACCCTAAAGGCTAAGAGTTACAGAATACCTAGTTGCATGACAGCGTGCTATTTCTTTGCCTCTTCATGTCAAGTAGATTGTATCTAAAAACCCTGCCCACTGGTAAAATATTATGATCTTTATGGCTTTTATTCTGAAAATTTCAATCTCTCACTTTTGCCTGCCCAAGAAACTAGTTAGCCATGTGACTGTGCTTCATACCATCAAATGATATCCAACATCCTTTATTGGCTACAACAAACACTACTGTGGTTGCTCAGGGTTCGGCACTAAGGCAGCTTACAAATCTTAAAGGTCAGTTTATAAGCTTGACATTTTACCCAAATGGGATATCATGGTGTACCTTTTAGCAAGTACAAGGACTTGCACCAAAGGAAGAATAATTTGCATCTTAAATAATGTCATGGGGTAAACATTGCATGACAGCGTGCTTTCTTTGCCTCTTTAGCAAGTAGATTGTATCTAAAAAGAACGAACATGCTCTGTCAACCTCACTCTTTTAAAATAAATGAGATTAGAGAAGGTGATACCCTAAAGCAAGAACCCAATAATAAGATTCAAACACAGATGTAAGAGAAGCATGTCAAAAACAAAAACCTTTATAATCTGCTCTTTGGCTAATTTGGACACACAGAAAAGCAGCTCTGAGAAACCTGTGTTTTTCATTGAGCTTTAGTACCTCTCAGACAATTTGCACTGTTTTTTGTCTAGTCATCCTTGTTGGTAAAAGAGCAGTACCAATATCCATTGTCTAAAAAATGTTACTGGTGGTCTAATGACCTTTTATTGTCCCTGACACTGAGTCGGAAAAACCATTGCTTCCAGCAAGGCCAACAGATAGACAGACAGAGTGAGAGAAAGGAACAGAGAGAGCGAGAGAAGGAGAGAGAGGGGGTAACAGTATTATTTTATGGTGGTTGTGGTTCACTGATCTTAATTGTATCGTACATGGTGTGGCTCACAGCTACATCTCTCCATGTCAAAGAGAATTAAAGTTACAGGAGTTCAAAGTAACTTCAATGTTGGGCTGCAATGCCCTCAGCTCTGCATGGTTAAACAATATTGAAAACACAAATAGATAAGATTCCCACTGCAGGCCAGGGATTACTCATTACACTGTTTACCACAAGCAGGGGAAAGCCATTTTCTAATACACAGGTGCCTCTAAGCAAGGCTCTGAACTCCCACCTGTTTGATTGGAAATGCTCAATTGATAATTAAATGCCTAAATAAAATTTAAACAATATTGAAAACACAAATAGATAAGAGCTACAGCAAATAAATGCACAACAATTAGAGATCAGTACACTGGATAATAGCATGCTTACTGTCCTGATGAGACCTGCTCAGAGCCTTCATCAACAATCATTTCATGCTACTCTAATACTAGGCTTGCACCAATTACTGCTAATATGACTTTTTTCAATCTAATGTAAAAGAAGGGTTATTATTGCACCAAACTGGTTGTTGTCATGTAAATACCCTCATTACGTCATTGCTATGGTTCATTTAAGGGTGGCTAAGCCCATGGTTTTTTGTCAACATTCATCGATTTCATTTTCCTTGTTTCCGGTTTCAACTGATTTAAATTGCGAAGTCAGCAGCTGCTTTGAGACCCTGTAGTGCCTTCCATAGCTAAACAAAGGCATTTTCCTGAGGAGTTGGGAGAGACTGATACAAAGAGAAGGATGAAGACTTGTTACCTGAGCACCTCTTTAAGCATCTGTTTGACATTTCTAAATGAAGAATGCATTTATATCATTGTAATTGTGTGCTCAACAACTGGGCTACAAAACACTAAAGTCCAGCCCAGAAAAGCAATGAAGTACATAGCTTAATGTCTGTTTTACAGCACAAGGATATTTTAAACAAAGTCGTCTGTACTTGTAGTGTCTTTGTGACCATTTCTCTACTTTTCGGTTTTCTACTTTGTGTTCTATCTAGTTGTGCAGTCATGCAAGACCATAGACTGTATATAGAATGGACACCGTCTGCTTCCTTCGCTGGGTGAAGCCACCATGAGAACAGCACTCTCTGGTGATGGGCTGCAGTATGGGTCATAAATCCTACCTCCTCCAGCAATCCCTATGGAACTGTGGACAAACTTTAGAAATTTATAATACAGAATATAAATTTTTCTCCCTCTTGGTTGCGATGTTGACATGTAGTTACTGTAAGACTGGTTTGTACTCAAGTCCTCTTTTTTTCTGTGCAACTCAGCCTATGGGCGTACAAAGATTGCATAGCTCACCCAGGGGATACGCTGTTTGAGTAGAGCAGGGGTGGGCAATCATGTGCCATGGAGGGCCGAGAGGCTGCAGGTTTTCTGTCCAACCCAAAACTCCACCAGGTGATTTCACTGATTACCTTACCTCCAAGCAGAGAGCAGGAACTAATCAGTGAAATCATCTGGTGGAGTTTTGGGTTGGACAGAAAACCTGCAGCCTCTTGGCCCTCCATGGTACATGATTGCCCACCCCTGGAGTAGAGCATCATCACAGCCTGCAAAACCTGGTCCAAACTGAAAATCTGGAAATGTGTTGCATGTAAATTTAAAAATATATACAAATAATGTTTTCTGAATAAAGAAATGTAACCAAATGCACCATATATTCTTTTTTTTCCTAAGTACTAAGGCAGTTTTAAAATAAAGTACTTCAGAACTTCAACGCAAATATTAATTTAACTGAAAACCTTTTTTTAAATGAAATAACAAGAGCAAGAGCTCTTGACCAAGAGCATTTAAACCTTGACTAAATAAAGCTGCATACTCACATTTTTCAGTAAAGAGATGCTGATGTTGACGTTTGCAAAACCAGACTGTTGTTAATGAAATTGGCCAAAACTTCGATGTTGTGCATTCAGATGCATTCGCTTTTACAGTTTTTGAGTTGATCAGATGTGATGAACATTTGCTTAAATGTGTTGTTACAGCTACTATACCTCTCTTCACTTTACAAACAGCTCACTCAACACCACTGAACAGTGTGACGTTTGCCCCAAGATCTTTTTGAAGGGTTATAAAGTCAAAGATTTATTTGTTTTGACTTTTTTTTCCTGTGCTGCAGCGTTCTCCCTATTATTGGTAATTTTACACTTTTTAAGAGACCATGAATAAGTCTTGATAAAGCCTGATTTCCCCAGTTTGATTCAACCATGAAAATGTGTCCACTGCTTTTCAAGCTTTGATGCTAAAATGAATAATTTTTAAATGAACTGAAAGACCTCTCTGCTTCACAGGAGTCACCTAAATATATCTCTCTACCTGTGTTTGTAAATATCTCTCTATTTGTCATTTATTTTCTCATCTATTTTACCATGTTTGATTTCCCTCCTTCATTCTTCTCTATAAAGAGAGGCTGTGGGTGAGGGGCTCTAAAGCCCTCTTTGCACAAAGGAATTGTTATCTGGGGAATTTTTTCACGACCCTTTACATTTGATTAATGGGGTTTTACAATGGCTAATTGAATTCATACAAACCATCACTGGCCCTGGCAAAGCAGTGTGAAGTAAGGTCGAGGTCTTACACTTCTTCAAGCACTCAATGATGTCATGTAATGAAAAGACCCTCAGAGCCCTCTGTGTTGGATTTCACTACTTGCCTCTTTTATGGTCAATTTTTGGAAATAGAAAATTGTAAGAAAGCAAAAGCATTCCCACAATTCTCTTTCGTTTTACAAGTTTTTCTCAAATTTGTTCATGTGAGCGATGATGCTCCTCCTGATGTACAGAACATGCAACATGTGGGACCACATTATCACGTTTGTTCAGTGTCACTATTAGCTGCAAACTCATCAGGATGGTGTCTGCTACAGCAATATGACGAAGGTGATGAATTTCCAGTCACTTTTAAAAAGTTATACTTGGTGGTACACTCAGATTGGGTGAATATATTTAGCATTTTGGCATTGATTTTTTTTCTTTTCAGAGATGTGACACAGTCAATGATCTTTGAATTAGTGTGCAGTCTGCCTCAGCACTGCCTGCTTCTGCTCACTTTGACGCTCAGTACATTTACATGATGTTAGAAAACTGGATTTATTGCCTTCGTCACACTAAAACTGCACTTCCAAAATACATGTTAACATGTTAGTCTGACTAAAATCACATTAAGTGAGATTTGGACTAAGGTTGGATTAATATACCTAAATAATGAAGTAGGGGGTTGATTTCCCCTTGCCATGTATACACCACAGTAAGAACCAAGCTGGCTTTTGCTCTACAGTTCACATGCGGGGCTTTTACCTGGAAGTCAAACAGTTTATATAGAATGAAGCCATATAGAAAGAAAAATAAAAACCTTGACACGAGAAAAAAAAAACTATCTTATCGTTTGTACAAAAAGTACAGAGCTGTAAAGTTCTCCATGTTTTCACTGTTTGACATATAACTAGTTAAGGCTCATTTATGCTCACCATATGTATGAAAATGTACACGTCTTCTTCAAACGATGGTTCCGTCACTGTCCACATACTTCCATGCATCCTTTACATTGGCATGGATGTTAACCATTACATCCACCAGGGGGCAGGCCGGAGTCAAAAGTTTCTGACAACAACAAATAAAAAGAAACATGGTGACTTTGGAGGAGCTAGTGATAACGCATATTTTGCATGGGAGACTGAAACGGAGGCTGCATTGGAGAAGGCGGTGGTCAGTCAGGCTACTAAATGCCTCATGGTTGGAGGATGGAGAATTCTTTTCCTGAGTAGTGCCGATGAGAGAAATTAACGACGATCCTCAAAAATCCCCGCCATTGTCTTTTTCATTTCTCTCTACAGATGCATATTGGGTAGTGACAGCAGCAACACTGCCCCCACGGTTTCCAGTGGTACTGCTCCATCGTATCTGTAAACTTCAAGGATACATGCAGAAATGCAGATGAAAAGAACGCAAAGCACAGACAGAGAGCTCCATGTGTATTCAGATCCCTGTGTAACATTGAGCATAAATGAGCCTTTAGCCTTTTGCTTTTTTGTAAAGTTGTTTCGGTATATGGTGTAAAATATAATCACAATAACTGTATGTTCTATTCAACAGCATTGTCCTGTGATTTACAAAGTAAAGGATTTGTCACAGTAGCGACAGAATCAATGTTATTTACCTCTGACCTGTTGAAAGCAGGCTACGCTCCACTCATCAGGGCAGTTGGTTGATGTATGTTTAAATTTTATTTTGGTGTCTGACTTCCTGTCACCCTTGATCAATCCTGTGCTGATTGACACGTGGTGCTCCAGCATCCAGCAAAAATAGAAGCCATGCATATCTGCTGCTAAGGGCACCGGATTGCTGAAGGTGAGACTGAGCAGAAAGGCAACGCGGTCAAGTCAGTGGAAGCACTCGCACTATCAAGAGCAAAACCAGCTCCTCACAGACCTAACATAGGACTAATGGAAGTTCCCCCTTTGAACCACTGTAGTATACTGTACCTGATATAACTCTGTAACCTTCTGCATTAGTTTGGACTATTTTGATACTTCATTTTTCTTACAAAAAGCTTCCTCCTCACATTACAAGGCCACTGTAAAGACAGATAGCAA